ACCAGTTCCATAATTTAGCAATTAAGTGCCAGTGTGAGGATGACTAGAAAGAAGAGACCACTCAAATTCCAAAGGGAAGAATTGATCAACGTTTCCCAGCCTAATTTTGAGATGGTTCCTGGAAAAGTAAATCATCAGCATTCAGAAAGTGTTTTGCTTATAAGTATTGTTCTTCCTACCAATTTTGAGAAACTGTTAACAAACTGGGAAATTCTTCTTCTTGTATGTGCCAAGAAGTGGGTGAAACTTCCTCATTACTCACATGTTACGTCTGTGGTATTCTCAATATCCTTCTGTAGAACCACATTTCTTTTGACTCAAGTTTCTTTTTTATCCATAAAGAGGTTGTCCTGCATTATTATGAACAGGAAAAATCGTCTCACATATTTTCCCTCTTTCTGATTTATCCCAATCAAAAGCAAAAAAATGCAAATATTTAGTTGATATATGCAAAGTGATCCAAAAGTTGTACACATTTTTTTATTGTATCAAAATCTGCCATTGATTTGGATATGTTTAGATCAATAATAATCAGCTGCTGGTGTTGACACAAGTTTTTTCTTTTTTGTTTGTTACTTTCAATTTTTGAGGCTAGATTGTGTTTTTGATGCTTCATTTAAAATAGAATCGAATCTTAAAATCTGATCCTGAATAAGATCAGATTTTCCCATTGCCATAATGTAGCCAAAGTGTCTTTTCTATAAATATTTTCATGGTAATTGTTCTGATGAACTTTCCTCTTTGGTACCTAGACTTTATGGATTTGAGTGTAGTACTAGATTAGTGGCAAGGCCTCATCATTTTACAATTGGAATGGCTAGATGTAACCATAAGTTCTAGGCTAATGGTTTCTTCCCTTGCACTTCTCACTTGTGGAACTCTTTTCTGGCTTTTTGCTTTCCAGTCAACTTTGAACTTCAATAATTTAAAGGCGATGCCAGTCTGTATTCTTAATTCCTGTTCTTTTAAGTATTCTCTCACCTTAGCAATTTTTTTTTCTCATATTCTCTTTTACTCAGTAACTCCTTGCATCTTAGTGAATTTATTGCCTTGCTTCAGATGCAATGAGCCATAACTATTTTTTTTGTGTTTGGTCGGGGGTGCATTTATATTATTTTAAGTAAAATAGTAACACACTGATTAGTAGTGTGCACCAGCCCAAACCCCCAGACCAGTGTGGGAGGTTGGGGAACGTGAAGGCAGGCCTGATTGGAAGCCCCAGGTAGTTCCTTATGATCTTTGCTATCTTATCAACATTTACTTTTTCCTACCTACATTTGTATATATTGCAAATTAAGCTAAGCACAACTGATTATTAAAGGATGAAAAATTTTTTGATTTTAATGTCAGTCTGGGTTCTTTTTTTTTTCACCCAAATCCATCCATTTGTTTTGTTCATGCTAAGTTTTGAAAAAAAGACACTATATAAAATTCACTATTTTTTATCCATAATGTTAAATTTGTTAAAATTATTCAACTTTTTAACATGAAAAATCTCAAGTTGATGCTAAAAATTACCATAAAACATTGTTGATTTAAGATGGAATGATCTAATAACATGTCTCTAATTAAGATGGAATGATCTATTATGGCATGTCTCTAATCTGTATTTAAATACATTGTATTTATTCTCAATTTTTCTAGTTGAATTGTTCCCCTATACTGAATATGATCCATTACTGTACATAATTAGATTACAATAAAATTTATATTTTATATGAATACTACATTATGGAAATTGAGATGATGTAGAGTGTAGCAAAAATGCAAACACTATTTCATTTAAATTTTTAAATGAAAAAAAAACAAAAATAACATTACTATTTTATTGATAAATATTTTTTGTTTTAAAAACCAAAGACTATTTTTTCTAAACTTATTTTTATTTTGTTTCTTTCTATACTTGCCTTCTTTTACTAATGAACAAATATTACCTATAACCATTCACTTACTTTGTTTTTTCTTATGATCTAGTCATTTCTTTTTTTTTTACAATCTTTTCACCATACTATTTTTTCTTCATTTGATCTCACAACATACCAACCAATGACCTACACATTTCTCTGTTACAGCAGGCTCCAATTAATTTCATATAAGAGCAGAAGAATTGCCTCCATGTTTTTTTGGTTTTATTCTACTTTAGTCATGTAATATTCTCTTTTTTTAGTGTCTCTGCTCATTTTCTTGTCCTTCTTGCTGCTTTACCCATTCCCTGCCCTAGAATATACATGAGCCATCTTGTTCTGTTAGTTTAGATACCAAAAACCTTCTCCAACACAAAAAAAAAGAAAGATAATAAAGAAATAATGAAAAAGACCAGTTAAAGTTTGTTCAGCATTTGGCTGAGAGCTTAAACTAGGTTTGTGTGTTTCTGTAGAAACCAGGGAAATCACAGACAATACTGGCAAAAAACATGATTGCTACATACAAGAGATATTAAAGAGTACAGGCTTCAGATGGGTTTTGGTCAAACCACAAAAAGTGGAAATCAGTATAAAATGTATATACATAATAAAGGAAAAGAAATCAAGCTCAGTATAATCTTGTTGGCTGAACACCATTATACCAATCATTGAAAAAAAAATATTCCTCCAAGAAATTGAAGAAAAAAAACATATGGTTTTTAAGATTTTGTCTTTCCTGAACTAACAATATCTTTTTCCCCATTACAAACCAATAAAGGCTCTTGAAGAATATTTAGTTTAATCCAATCATTCCTAACAAACCATGTAATCAAGGTCATGTTGAATAGACATGCCTCTAAATCATTTCATATTAATACAAGGGTTACTCAGGACTCTATCTTTGGACATATGCTGTTTCTGATCTTCATCAATTATTTTCGCAATGTCATCAGTTCCCATCTAGGTATTTATGCAGGTGACACAACTATTTACTCCTGTCCGCATAGAAAATCCAACAAAGTTGACAAAGAAAACTAGCAACTGCTCTTGAAAAGACCTCTAATCAGTGGTTAACTGGGACAAGGAATGGCTTGTAAATTTTAATGCTGCCAAAACAAAATTTAACAAATTTAATTCTTTCTAAAATTACTTATTTCTAAAATGAGTGCTATCATTCTAATTTATTTTTTCTGTTTCATTCTTTCTCACTTCTGGTAAAGGCTACAAAATCCTAAAATTTAAGCAGTAATAATGTGTATATATTTGTTACTTTCCTCTTTGAGAGAGCTATTTCTGTTTACTGGGACTATAAAAGGACACTATATGTGAACCTTGTATTCTCAGTCGAATAAAGCTTTCTTAAAGCCTACACCTGCATACTTTGTTATTTCAATACCCACACACACACACAGTGTACATTGAAGTCAATATCCGGAGGTGACAGTCTGTTTCATGCTAAATGCAATCATCAGGCCATGTGTGTTGTCATTTTGCTTGAGTATTTATAAATAGTCTAGCAAAAACACAATGCATATGACCTAACAATTGTATTTAGCATGAAACAGACTGCTATCTCTGGATGTTGACTTCAGTGTCCACTTTTATATTTATATACACTCTATCCCTGATATTGAACACTTTAACCCATAAATATAGGCTACCTTAAAACTATATTTTATCATATATATATACATATAAACATATATATATATAAGTCTGGGTATTTTATGGTGCTATTCTATTATTTTATATACCATATCTTTCCTTATTAATAACAATATTTTTCCAACATATGGATGCAATTTCTTAGAATCATATGTTGAATAACTTGGAGAATTAACTTTTGAAAACATTTGACTGGGACTTTGCCATGGACGTTATGTTAAAATCAGAAGTGGACCTATTATGTCGAGAAATAAAATATGTAAACAGCAGCCAAATTGATAAAATCCAACAAAGTAAACATTCTTTGTGCAATAGCAGATGAAAATACATTGGACAACCTCATAGCAAATGTTATATTCCGTGTTAATAGGAATATATATTTGAGAAATACAGTGGATAAAATAAATAAAGGTTTAATGTAAAAACCAGTACAATAAGAAATAAGGTAACAGTTATGCGCACAATCGTGGCAAGTCAATCCAGTAGTGAGTGCTACTATTGGAAGGTCAGTAGTTCTCGCATAAGTCTGAGTTGTATTCAGCAGATCCCAGCTAGACTCTGTAGTCTGCTGACTTACAGATACTTATAGGAAGTTACTACCTACAGTGTAGTCACTCATGGGGATGACAGGTTATTCCATTAGATCAGAAAACCTCTGAGATATAAAACTATCCAACACTGAATTGGAAGTCAGCTTCGGAGTAATATTTGCTACTGGGAACTGCCTGAAAACTATAACACAGGTTGTGTCAAGCTTTGTAAGGGAAATTAGAAAACAGAACTATTCAGAAGCCATCCGTGATTATGCTAGCATGAAGTTACAAGCCTGAGGGTTTGACTGAGGGTTTGTGCTTTATTTAACTTTTGTTCAGCCAGATTAAACACTCTCCACAAAAATGTAACAAAGGCATACAGAGTATAATTGCAGCATAAACCACAAAGTGGCTCTATGCATGTTGAACAAACTGTACCTGCAAAGGCATCTATAACAGGAACTTACTAACCACCCAAACAAATGGACACTTGGAAAAGAGCCACCATTTTTATATATATATATATATATATATATATATATATATATATATACTTTTACAGTATGACTCAGAGTTTCATGGCTTTGCCATCAGGTACAAAAAGTTATGAACTGTTCAATACGTTTTTTGTTTTTTTTAATTTCTGGGTATCTTGGGAGAAACACTTCATTGTGTGTGGATTCAAAGTTCAAGATTATTATAATGTAGTATTGGGGTATAAATTCAAAATATAGAGTCTTGGTTGATAGATATGGAAACATAAAGTTATTAATAGTAAGTTTGATAGAAACATTGATCCATAATGTGTATTGAGTCAACGGATAAGATTATTGCAATACAAATTAAAAAAGTTGGTAGTTACCAAATAAAAAGTGTAGGTAGGCTGAGAAGAATATAGGGTAAAGAAAATATCTATCTATCTATCTATCTATCTATCTATCTATCTATCTATATATATATATATATTGATGTATGTTTCATTAAATATATATATATATATATATATATATTGATGCATGTTTCATTAAATAATCTAGACAAGTTTTGTCTGTTTATTTTATTCAAATTCCTTTCATATCGTCTGATGAGTTTAATAACATTATCATTGAAAGACAAAAAAATCACCATATTGATACATGTTTTTTAATCCTATCTAAGCATTCGGCTTACATAAGCCATCATCAAAGATAACAATAACATTACAATAAATTAAACAATACACGAACATGCCAATAATGATAGTCTGTTTTTGTGTGCATGGAAGATTTCCAAGCAACGACAAACTCATGCATACGAGACACTGAAAGTGAAAATCACACTGCGGATCATGTCGTCACACATGATCACGCGAGAGTGAAAATGAGAAGAGTTAAGTATGGGAAGTAATTGGCTTCTGTTATTAATTATAGGCATTTGAGTATATTTGTGAAGTTTTCATAGTTTATTTTGTTCAGGTTAGGTTTCAACTGTTTTATTTATATAGCTTCAAAAATTTTTAGTTTTTGTTTATTGTTTTCATGTTTAAATATAGTTGAGTTTTCTACAAGGATTTTCCGGAATTGTGTATGCGGCATATATATATATATATATATATATATATATATATATATATATGAATAAAATAATATCTAGCCACTCACATTCAAGTATAACTGTCTACTAGAGTGGCAAGGCAATCCCTATTGCAGACGCTTGCCCAGGCACATTTGTGTATGTTCAAAACCCACAGAGCCCACCTGTGGTGGTTTATACTGCAACTATGCTGAGCAGACCTTAGTTACAGTTTCTGGGAGAGAGTGTGTTATCTAGTGTGATCAACAATCTGAAGAAGGCCAGCACAATCAAACCCTCAGTCATGATGACTTGTTACTCCATGCTAACACAGCTATCAATGGCCCTTCTATGTTTTGTCCACCAATTTCCCTCATAAGGCTTGGGTCAACCTGTAGTATAGTTTTCAGTCACTTTCCAAAGGTGCCACATGCTGGGATCATCCCCCTCCAGACCGATAACATCAGGAAGTCTCCTTCCTGACAAATCAACCATGGTGAGATTTGAACCTGGATCCCATGGTTAGAAAGCGAACATTGTAGTTTTAAGGTATGGTATATTTATGGGTAAAAGTACTCAATATCCGAGATAGTGCATATGTAAATATAAAAGTGGACACTGAAGAAGATTGCATTCAAGAATGAAACAGACTGTCACTACTAGGTGTTGTCCTCAGTTTTCCACTTTATATAAAATCATAAGCACTAAAAAAGTGAATTTGTTGTATAGAAGGATTTTCTATTTTAGGCTAAAAAATTAATCACTAAGTTAAAAAACAAAAAGTCAAGTAAAAGGTGTTCTACTTTTGTGATAAAATGAATGGTGTTGGATGCAGGAAATAGGTTAAGTTCTTTCTTTTACTTTCTTTCTCACCATTTTTATTGGAATTTTCTATGTTTGAAGGACTTTATTCTATTTTAAGTTTAGTTTACACAAATTTGGTAACCTAGTACTCTTGCTGCAATTCTATCTTAAGTATTTCAAGATAAGAACCAGTGGCCAATGTTTATTGCCATTCTGTTCTTTGATTGGCCAGCTTCTCATTTCAAGAATTAAACTCTCTCTGTTGACTTATTGACAATTTTTCTTTATTTTAACTTAGAAGCACTGACTCTTACACATCAGTAGGATTCAATTTGCTAAAATCTAACTAGGTGGCAAGAAGGAGATGAAACTTAGAACTGGACTTTATTGGACAACAAAACACTCTTTTAACAAATGACATACATTCCAGGGAGGTCTTGGGAGGAAATAGTTCCTTCAGAGTCTAAAATGCCCAGGAATAGTTTATACAACTGAAAGGTGATGTTAAAATATTTACAGACATGTCTAATTCTGAAATTAGTGTTATATATCAATTTTCTTACCATACGTAGTTAACATTTTCTTTACAGTATCAACAATCTCAACTGATTATAGTGATAGAACAGGATTGGGATAATTTTGAAACTATATGAACAAACTGACTGCAATAAATGTACAGGTGAAAATCACTACTGTATGTATAGAAGGATGCTTAGTGATAATACTCACACATGGATACTGCAAAATAAATAAGGATTCCTATTGTTTCTCAAGGATTTGTTCTGTTCTGGAATTTGGAACTTATTTCAAACCAAAAAATCAAAAATCACCATAATATTTCAGATAATATTTCTGACAAATAGTTTTATTAAGGATATTAATATTTTACACTAAAATAAAAATATATATGATTTACCCAAGTACAAAATATTAATTTTACATCATTCCTATTCCCCTGGGTAAAATCTCTCATCATAGCAGATTACTTATGAGATATTTGGATTTGAATTACTCCTCCAGTTTGCTTTTTTATTTAATTTCAAAAAAATGCTAAAGGAATTATTTTGGTATGCAAGTATTTTTGTAGGCAATGACTTTTGCATCAAAATTACCAACCATTCTAGTTTACATTAGTAGCATTTTACTGCACTTTTAGATTTGGATGACTCAAAAGCATTTGACAGGTTGGTCTTCCTCACTAGTTGAAAGGTTATGATATTTCTGGACTAATGTTTGAACTGATTCAGTCTTTCTTATCAAATTGAGAAATAAAAGTCATCTTGAATGGCCACTCTTCTAGATCTTTTTACATTAATATTTTCATTAACAATCTTCCTGATGTCATCAGTTCTCTATGCTGCTAACACAATTATTTATTCTTGTCTTAAAAAAGTAAGTATGATCAGTTCAATAAGGTCAAATTGGCAGCTGATCTCAAAAATGACTTAAATCTGGTGTTAACTGGTCAAGGGATGCCTTGCTAATTTTAATACTTCCAAAATGAAACTACTCTCTTTTAATCATCTGAGAGAATCCTTTCTGACTTCCATCAGCATGGCTGATGCTAACCTCCTGGAGAGTGACTCGTTGCACCTTCTTAGACTAATTTTTCCTGCTCACATGAAGTAGAAAGATTATATTAAATCAATTCTATGCCTGCTGTTAGGAAAGTCAATTCATTGTATCATGCTAGACATTTATCTTATCAGAATCAATCTTACATATTTATAAGTCTATCATACATCCATGCTTTGAGTATTGCTGCCACATCTGGTCTGGTATTTCTGCTATGCATTTAGATATTTTTGGTAAAATCCAAAGAAGAATCTGCAATGATATTAGTCCTGACCTGGCATCTCAGCTTCAGTCACTTTCTCACTACTTTAATATGGCTTCTATGTGCATTTTCTATAACTACCTTCATAGTAATTGTTCTGATGAACTTTACTCTATGGTATTTAGACCTTATACCTATATTTAAGTATATACTTATATACCTTATACATTTAAGCCCAGTACAAGATTAGCAGCTAGTTAATGCTGACCTCCAGGAGAGCAACTCTTTGTACCATCTTGGTCTCACATTTTCTATTGACATGAAGTGGAGGGATTATATTGAATCAGTTGCTAAGTCTGTTGCTAAGAAGTTTTGTTCACTGTGTCATGCCAGACAATTTTTCTCATCAGAATCCATCTTGAACATTTATAAATTTACCATTCATCTATGCTTTGAATATTGCTACCATATTTGGTCTGATGCTCATGCTATATATCTCAAGAATCTTGATAAAATCCAAAGAATGTTCTGCAATGTTATCAGTTTTATCCTGGCACCTCATCTTTAGTCAAGTTCCCACAGCCATGGCATGACTTCCCACTTCCTTTCTATAAATATTTTCATGGCATTTGTTCTAATGAGCTATTCTCTTTGGTACCTCAACTGCATGAATTTAAGCATTTTTTTTTAAATCATTATCACCCCATGTAAGGGCAGTAAAGCGACTAAGACACAAGGAATTACAGGGTGTGGAAGAATTAGGAGCAGAAACATTAATAATGAGCAGGAAGAGAAAAGAGTAATCAGGAGGACAGTAGATAACAATTGACATTACATTTAAATTTTTGAACATTAAAGTTGGCTGGAAAGCATGGAGCCAGAAGGGAGTTCCACAAGTGATAAGTGCAAGAAAAGTAACTGTTCACATAGAATTTATTGCTACATCTAGCCAGGTCAACTGTAAATTGATGAGATCTCAATACCAGTCTAGTATTGCACTTAAATTCATAAGGTCTAGGTACCATATTGAAGAGCTCATCTGAACAATTATTGAAAGTATCTATAGAAAAGTTTAAAACTTAAATTTAAAAGTTTAGTTACCACAGAGAAGAGCTCATCTAAACAATTACCATGAAATTATTTATAGAAAAGACACAGAGAGGCAGCCTTATGGTGATGGGAAAGTAACTGAAGCCAAACCACCAGATCAGGGCCATTAATATTGCTGATTCTTCTTTGGAACTTATCAAGGAGCTCAAGGTAAATAGCAGACCATATGTGGCAGCAATATTCTAAGCATGGACGAATGGTAGACTTATAGATATGTAAGATAGATTCTGGAGAGAAAAATTGTCTTGCACAACACAGTAAACCAACTTTCTTAGCAGCTGACCTAGCAATGGATTCAATATAGTCTTTCCACTTCATGTCAGCTGAGAATATTAGCCTGAGAAGGTACAAAGAGTCACTTTTCTGGAGGTTAACATTAGCCATGCTGATGGAAGACAGAGAGAGGTCTCTCAGATGATTAATGGAGACAAGTTTAAGCATATCAGAATAAATGGTAAATGATTCTAAAATACCCATATATAGATTTGATGCATATTTTAAACATGTGCTTGATTCAGTACCAAAATCCACTCACATGGTCACTGAAATATTTCCTTAATTTCAAGCTTTAATTAATGTGTGTTTTTTTTTTTGAGTGGATTTCATTGGATTTTCTTTTAATGTTATGCTCATTCACTGTTCCATTCATTCACTATTCACTCCTTTTAACCCAGCCAACCACAACTCACTCATATTTTCTTACCCACCTCCATTTTTACAAAACTAAACCCATTCCCCATTTTTATCCACCCACCCAATTTTATTACTCCCCTACTCTACAGGCAGTGGTCTTACATTAGTTTTGCTGTATCCTTGTCTTAATCCAAAATCCCTCATTTCTTATCATCCTCTCAACCTATTTATCCACCATTTCTTTTTTTTTTTCTTCCTTTTCTCTTGTATTCTTTTCTTCTCTGCCATCATTCTTTAATAAATTTAACATAGAATGCCACAAGGCCGGAAGTGAGTAAATGCTCAGTGAGGATTAAACTCACTATAGTTGGCGAGACTAGTTTGTAAACTGACACTTTTTAATTGAGTATCCTTCTATCTTTCATTCTCATTCTTTTTTATTTATTATTCAACTGCTTTTTCCCTCATCTATTAATTTTTCTATCTGTTGATCTCTCTATTTCACCTTTCATCTCTCTTTCATATATATATATATATATATATATATATATCCCTCTCTTAAATCCTATTTTTCTCTATTCATCTTTATCTATCTTCTTTCTTTATCCACATCACTTTTTTCATCTTTCTGTTTCTATCTCTCTCTCTTTCCTTTCTTTTCATTCTCTATTTATATCTTTCTCTTCTTTTTCCCTTTTCTTCTCATATCTTGTCCTTATTTTCCTTACTCATTATATTTCTCTTTCTTTCTTTCTTTCTTTCTTTCTATGTAATTTAATTCTTATCTTTTTTGTTATCGTTCTCTCACTCTGTTTTTTACTTCATCCCTCTCTTTCTCTTTTTCCTATTCTTCTACCCTTTCTCTTTTTTGTTTTACTCTATTCTTCTCTGCCTGTGCTCTCCTGGACATGAGTACCCCATGATAAGCCTGCTGAGAGCTCCTTATCTTTCCACATGATAAAATTGACACCACTGATAGCATTTCATTTGTCACCAGGAATTTTGCCTGTGCCATGGAGTAAAGAGAATGGTAACCAAGACAGTATTTTTTTGCCAAAGAATAAACTTGGATACAGTACAATGCATATTCTTCTTTTTCCATATCTTCTTTCTTGCAGAAGACATGAGGGTGGTGATATTTGACCTTCATGGCAAGTGGCACCACTACAATATCTGCTTCACTTAAGTATGAATCTTAACATAATTTACTAATCTACGGACACTGAAGCGGTAATTATTATGACTATGTTGTGTGTAGTACAGTGTATTAATACTATGATAAGGTGTGGTGAGGGTGGAGTATGATCCCTACTTTTAAGGCTTCACTCTAGATAATCTCATTGACTAAGATTACTAGGTCTCAGTAGCTACAATTCAATGCCTGCAGCATTGGGCTTAAGGTTAAAAACTATCTATTTAAGGAGAATTAAAATTGATTCATGGGTCTAAAATTATCACCATCTTAAATAAGGAAGAAAAAACATTTATTAAAAAAAACCCAAGATCATTGAACTTGCCACTCAAGATATTTTAAGGTAGAATTTTCAAGTTCAAGATAAATATTGTTCTTGATTTCTAAATTCCCTCATGTCCTGATGATAGCATTAAAAGTTGTCGAAAATTCTGAATTCTTTCATTGTGAGCTTTTAAGAAATATTTGAATATATGAGAAAAAAAACAAGTGCAAATGTTAAGAATCCTGTTCTTTTAATACAATTATTAAAAGAAAATCTATATTTAACATATAGGTATGCTCAATTATATCTTTAGAGGAATCATATCCAATCTAGTTATTAAAACAAGATTCAGAATACAAATGGATGAAGAATCTCTTGTAGACAAGGAAATTAAATTTTATGATGCTGTTTTGAATTTCTGAGCTGAGGAGTAACCATTATTTACATTCAGATTAATATCCTTATCTTACACTATATATATTTGGACTGTTGTCCTCATTTTTGTTGTTGTTATCACAACGTTTTTGCTGTTGTGCCATCCAGCCTTTCTTAGATGTATATTGCTCTGGGTAACCTGCAGCTAAGGAATGCCAGATGGCACAACAACCAAAATGATGTGATAAAAACAAAAAAGATGAGGACAATAGTCCAAATATAAATAGTGTAAATAATGATCACTCCTCATCCCAGAAATTTAGATGAAAAATCCTGATCTTTGTTGTTATTGTCACAATGTGGAGCCCTATAACCTTCTTCAGGTGTCTGTTGATCTGGTTAATCTTCAGGGAATTTCAAGTTTCAGCCTTTATGCAATCTACAATGGTAGATTTTTCTCATTGCACTTTCCCTATTGAAGGCTATCTTATTATTTAATACTTCTCAATTATTCCTCATTCTGTTCCTACTCAGTATAAGTCAGTAATACCCAGTTCAGGGATTGAACTCATAATTACTATGTCCTCAAAGTCATAGACGAACATTTTAATCCAAAAGGCTATAAAGAAGGCACGAAGCCACAACTGTTGAAATGATGTGATAATAACCCCAAAGATGAGGATGTTAGTCTAAATGAAAATATTGTATGATTGTATCATAAACTAATGATGGAGTCATTGTGTTTTTAGCTACAGTCTTCATTATATGATAAGGATGAAACCAAAATAGGATCTGATTGTTATCTGACGACTCATACACTATAGCATTTTGTACACATGATGCAGGTAACCATCTGCTCTTCAGAGAAACAAATTAAACTAATTCACAATGTTTTCAATGCATCACAGCAAGTGAGTGTTGGTAGGAAGCTAAGAATGATGTGAAAATAGAGTAATCAAAACAAAACTGAAATTTCTTTTATTAAATGCAGGCAACAGATACTTACAAGAAGGAAATCAAAATCTGATCAACTGAGAAGCCCTTTTTCTCAATTACAAAATATATAATGTATCATAGAAAAGAAATTTGTAAAGATATTGGAATATTATACCAGTATAAAATTATGCACAATAAAAATCTCACTTAACATATGCATGCTACAGTCCCCACTTAACCTATGCCTTGTACAGTTCTCACTTAACCGATGCCTTGTACAGTTCTCACTTAACCGATGCCTTGTACAGTTCTCACTTAACCGATGCCTTGTACAGTTCTCACTTAACCGATGCCTTGTACAGTTCTCACTTAACCTATGCTTGGTACAGTTCTCACTTAACCAATGTCTTGTACAGTTCTCACTTAACCAATGTCTTGTACAGTTCTCACTTAACCAATGTCTTGTACAGTTCTCACTTAACCAATGTCTTGTACAGTTCTCACTTAACCTATGCTTGGTACAGTTCTCACTTAACCGATGCCTGGTAAAGTTCTCATTTAACCTATGCAAGAGAAATTTATCATTATAGTGACTTCGAAAAGTTTAAGAAAAGATTAAGAAACACAAAAATTCTGTTACAAAGAAAAACAGTGCTGAACTGCTATTTAATATCAGTCTTCTTGTATGGCAGTAAATGTTGGACAATCTCAGCACAGATAAAGAAGAGACTTTAGGCAATAGAAATATGATTCTACAGACAGATGCTGAGAATACCATGGATGGAACATTTTAACAATGAAGGAATTTTAAGGAAAATTTGAACAAAAAAACCCCTTATGTTTAGAATTAGAAAGAGATGGTAAAATTTTCTGGAATATATAAAAAGGAAAGAAGGCTTAGAGAATTTGGCACTTACAAGACTTACTGAAGGCCAGACAAGCAGAGGAATACATCAAATAACTTACCTTGTGCAAATGGGTAGCACAGATATTGCTTAGATCTAGAAAGAATAGGAAGTTGTGGAGAACTATGATCACCTGTATCCTGAAGTGACACCGTGTATAAAAGAAGATATTGACTATAGATATCTTAAATAGATGTATTTTTGTTTATTTATTTATATTCAAGAGTCCATAGATGTGGAACAGCACTATGGAATGCAGATTTGGCTAATTGCATTAATTCTTCTGGGAGGAAATTCTCTTTTCGTCTTTTGTTTACTGAAATTAAAATTCTTATAAATAATAGGAAATCTTAAATGTGCTGGTTGATCTCAGTATGTTAATATTATTTATTTTTTAGATTAGCATATACTTTTTTCTACATTTAGGAAATTCTTGAATGAAAATTTTCTTGGAAATCTGTTATATGCTCTTGGAGAAAATAGTATATTGTTTGTAAATGGAACATTTGGAAATTGGGACTGTAAAGAACATTTGACACATGCTTAGACTAAAACTAAAAAGGAAAAAAAAATGAAAGGAAAATGTTTGTTTTTCTTTTTTTTTTAGTTTAAAAAATAGGAACTTATTAGGCATTTGTGTGGGAGGGATTTGAATTTCTGTGTTAACATTTTCATGAAACCAAAGAAGTTGGTATCAGATTGGAAAGTCGTAAGAGTGTGAGTAATGCTTTTTAAGAATGGAATGAAAAACATTTGAGCGCAAGAGAGGTAAAGAGAAAATTTGATAAATTGATATAGTGGAAGTAAAAAGTTTGAATTGGGTAGGAGGAAAAAGAAAATAGAGAAAAGAAAATTATGGGAGGAATAAAGAAATATAAATAATAATGAAAAAGAACAGAGAAAGTGAAGAATAAAAAAAAGATCAAAGAGATATAGAAAACAAATAAAAGGAAAAAGTGAACAATGTGTTGTTGTAGTAGGAGGAGGAGGAGGTGAAAAATACAGGAGAGAAGAGAAAGCAAATATGATATAAAGAAAGAAAATATGAAGAAAAAATAGAATGATAATGTTGAAGAAGAAGGAAAGAAAAAATTTATAGGAGGAGAAAAAGAATAGCGAAAAGTTGGAGGAAAAGGAGAAATTGGTACGAAGGTAAGTGAGGAAGAAGCATATTCAGAAAAAAGAGTTGAATAGAGGAAGCCACAAAAGAAAAAGAAAAAGAAGAATTCAAACCATAAAATCTTGAAAGAGAAAGAAGAAAAACATGTAAAAGAAGAAAAAAAGGAAATAATTTATGAAAATTGAAGAAAGAAAGAAGAAAAGAATGAAAATGAGTAACTACAGTAAAGTGAAAAGAAATTTTTTACTTTTACAGTTTAAAAAAATAACTGATAAACACACTGTTTATTCAAATGCAACCCCCTTTTTAAATTGAAAAAAATGGAAAAGAAAAACCTGTCAGGGTTTTAACTATTTCCTTTCCTTGCAAACGGTCAATTCATCCAAATTCCAAGATCAATACTGAAGATATGAAAAATAGATTAAGAATAAGTTCTGGATTTGATCTGATAGACAGAGAAATACTGAAAAATAAGTTGGTATGGCCAAAGAATTTGGTATTGGCGCCAGCCACTATATTTATTTATGATTTATTTTGTTTGTTCTTCACAAATTCTATACCATAAGCTCTAAATTCTAAAAGCAACAATAACAAAAAGCAATATTTTAAAAAAATATTAACTTTCACTAAGGATAGCATTTTTTAAGTAGACATGACCAGGTAATCTGTACAGGAGTGTAAAACAATATACCACCCTGTCAAACATTTCACCCTATTTTTTGTTTGAATTTTTTAGATGAAAAATTATCATTTATTATATACTTATGTACTGAAAGCAAACTCCTCATCCTGGTTGTTATAGTCCTAGTGTTTCCATCATTGTATCCTTTGACCTTTGTTCAGGTGTCACAGATTTTTGTTCAGTGGAATAAAAATAGGTAAATATCAGTCAGTCAGTTATGTGCCATGCATGATACATGCATAGCCAATCATGTATCAAAAGATACATGACTGACAATGCAGATTTTTTCCTGCAGTAAGTTGCCATTTCTTTCTATGGGAGACCAGTTGCCATCCAAGACTATAGTACCCGGTCTGTCCTGCTAATTACCCATAGCTGGGGGGAGAAGAAGAGGATTCATACCTTTCCCAAGGGTAAGAGCACATAAGTGAATGTAATGGATTTGACTGGAATTTGAACTCGGCTCTCCAATTCCTCAATTCGAGCCACTATCCATTACTCCACCATGCCTCCTCAGTTAAATATCACAATGATAAATTAACTTGGAAGAATTAACAGATACAAGATAAAATCTGCAGAATAAGAACACTCTACCCTCATGGATTAAATAAAGGGTTTGGTTAAGCATTTCTTGCTGGTTATGAACAATGACTGAAGCCTGAAGAAAACTAGAGGGTAGAACAGCTGGACCATTGTGACTATAACAGTCAAAATGGCGACACTCATTCAAGTATATCGGTGGATTGTAATACAAGACTTTTACTGATTATTTGCTAAAATTTGGTAAAACAAGTAATCTTCTATAAAAAAAAATAATTATAAATAAGCTTCTATAATAAATAATTATAAATTTTAAGAGCTTCAATAAATTTCTATTTGTATTGACTCATTCAAAATAAAATAATTTTTTTATGGAGCATTTATTACCATTTATATGTGTAGGTATCATAGCGGTCATCAACAGAGAAAGTAGAATTGGCAAGCTAGGTTGAAGTTCTTGCTGAGTCTATTGCATTCAACTTAGATATATCTCCTTTGGAAAGGCATGAATTCCTTTCTTCTCTTTCACCAGCTATGAGTGAAATAGCAAGGTAGACTAGGTTTGTTAGCCTTGAATAGCAACCAGTCTTGAAGGAGGACAACTCTGAATTCAAAACAGTGGAAAAGGCAATGGCAATTCATAGATAATAAAGAAGTGGAGAGTTGTAACTGCTTCCATTGTGAAGGAACATATAAAATTAAAAATTTCCTCTCAAATTTTAAACTGATTTCTGCAATTATATTACTGATTATAAAAACAGCTGGGGTACAACTTCCAGTTTTATTATAAATTTCTGAATAATCAGTGTATCTTTCAACAAATCATTTGTATACAGTATTACTTGTCATATAAGGAACACATTTAATAGAGAATCACTTTTAAAAATCACCCTGAATTTTATATGCAGTTGTCTGGATTAGAGTAGAAGCTACCAGTACTAGACTAACATGGAAACACTACTTTAAAAAATTAGGATGTTGACCATGTTCGCCAAGTCTATTAATATAGAATACAGCACAGTACGTAATCTGTTCAATAAAACAACGTTAAAGATTAATACTCACGAGTCAGACGCTCTACTGAATCTGCCTATATCGCCAATACCACCAGCAGCTGTTCTGTAATTCTTCAGTCTTTGATATCAGAGGTTGGCAGTGAATATTTGGAAAAAACATGGCTGCCTTTATACACGTCGCATGAATATTTTGAGCCTTCTGATTGGTTAAGCCTTCTATTGGTGAACTATAAAATGAGTCAGCTCATGTTGGCTGGCTCACTAGTACTGGGGTACCCAAAAATTCCAACATAGGACTCTGATTATCCCAAATCAAAATATATATGATCCTATTATAATTGTGCTTGTCCATCCCTTTATCAATTTGCATATTATATCCTGCCAATACCTCATAAATAATGGACTATTCCATTTTGACCATGTCACAAGAAGGGAAAATACACTGCTTTGATTTAGTGAGAAAATGGAAAAGAAAGAAAGGCATAAGGGAAGATAGAAGGGTTTGACATCGCCTACTAATACCTCATAAATAATGAACTATTCTATTGGGATAAATGAACCATACATGAGAGTTGCTACATAGGTTCAGTGAGAAAATGAATAAAAGAAAGAAATAGAAAAAAGATGTGTTTAACGTTTGTTTCAGTGAAACAGAAAAAGTTGTCAATTTCAAATCTTTTCATTTGTACCCACTTCTTAAAATAATGACCAGTATTCATATTTATGATTGCTATTGCAATATTTTATTAAAGTTGTTAAGCTCAAATATTTAATGATGCAACAGGGGAATTTCTATGGATATTTTATTGTTGTAGAACTCATTATGAGCTTATTCAATCATTAACATTAGAATATTAAAATAGGAAAAGCATGAAATTTTCATTAGTTAAACCCAGTTGTAGACGTTTTCATTATAATAATAAGGGAGTGATGAAAAGTTTTCAACCCAAACAAGAAGAGTTTTTTTTTTTTTAAACCGATGCTTGATCAGATTTATTTTGGGGAGATCTTTTCAGCATCTCTTCATACAAATCAAAATAATGTTAAAATAAGAAAAATAAATAATAGATATATATAATAATAATAATAATATTTTACATCATTATAGAAAAATTTCCTTGTTTCAGAACTTCAAAATTTTTTACAGTTCCAAAAGAGGGAAATTTTTGTGTCGCAATGTAAAATATTATAATAAATATATTATAATATTTTGCTCTATTTTGTAGTGAGCACTTTTAAAAAAAATGTAAATGCTAAGAATTGTGTATTCTTCATCTGCCTGTTCTTTCTCTTTGTATATATATATATATATAAAGACATTTTTATGTTTATACTTTCTTTTTATAGATACAAATATTTAAGTAAATGCTCTGTTTTATAATAAACAATATTAAACATTTACCGGCCTGAATGTCCGAGAAATTTTCATAGAAAATTTTTGTCCTCTGACAGGAATCGAACCTGCATCCTATACGGAACCGTTATATAGCCTGACGTGCCTTAACCGTTTCAGTCACAGAGGAGCATTCGGTTAGCAAGGTTGATTTTACTGTCTTTAAAGTTCAATCTTCCATGAATCACTCACATACATTCATATCTGCTCATAGTGTATCAAATGTAAACAAATGATGTCACACATTATGAAATGGACAAAGTCCAACAATTATTTTAAGACATTTTTATGTTTATACATTATTTTTATAGATACAAATATTTCAGTAAATTTGTATCTATAAAATAAATAAAACATAAAAAACATAAAAATGTCTTTTCATAATTGTCAGATTTATTTATTCTAAAATTATAACATAAATATGTTATAAAATCAGTACAAAAATAGCCATTTTGTTTCAACACTTCTGGTGTCTTATCAAGTGATGGTGTTGAATGTAGAACACATTCAACATGATCACTTGTTAAGACACCAGAAGTGTTGAAACAAAATGGCTATTCTTGTACTGATTTTATAACATATTTATGTTATAATTTTCGAATAAATAAATAATTATATTTTACTCTAGTCTGTATTGAGCACTCATTTAAAAATAGTATTTGTTGGTTATTGAAATTTATTCTGTATACACCAATCCTATACTTGGGTATATATATATATATATATATATATATATATATATATAATTTATATTCTTTACACTTGGTCTATTGCTCTCCTCTTTGTTGCTATCTATCACAACATTTCGGCCATTATATCCTCCAAATTTCATCAAGTGCTCGTCAGTCGAGGTTATCATCAGGGAATGCCAGACTGAACCCTTTTATTTAATCTATGGGGATATATTGTTATAGTTCCACTTATCATGTCTAGGGATATCTCGTCTGAAGTTGGTCATAAACTTAGATCATTTAATCAGGAAAAATTTGTTAGAAACAAAGGAAAGAATACTAAATTGTTACATAATATTAGTCCTTGTCTGTGGCTGTGGATGCTAAACAATCACCTCACAGCTAAAGAAGAGACTTGAAGCAACAAAAATGTGATTCTACAGAAGGCTACTGAGAATACAATGAACTGAACATATGAGCAAACATATGAGCAACAAAGAAATTTTAAGGAAAAGGATGCTTATATTTAAAATCAAAGAGACAGCTGAAACTTCTAGGATACCTAATGAGGAAAGTGGGCTTGGAGAATTTGTCACTCTCAGAATATACTGAAGGCAAGAGGGACAGAAGCAAGAAGAAATAATCTACCTAACAAGCCTGTATAAATGAATGACAGAACAGGGTCTGGGAGGGATGGTGAAAACAAACAAACCATACTATGAACTTAAAATGATAGGAAGTTGTGGAGAGTCATGATCACCTGAAGGGATAGAGCATATAGAAGGAGGATTTATATTCCAGGAAATATGGTATGTCTTTAAAATTGTCAACTGTGAACAGAGTCATGAAAATACTTAAATATCTCAATGGTTTGGTCAAAGAATTCTTTACCCTGTTTTGAAATTCCAAGTTCCAGTTGTTTTTTTCTCCTGGGAATTAACAATAAAGAGAGAATTTATTACTTCCTTATTATATTCATTCACGAGTGTTTACACCACGAATAATTAGTGCCCTACACTGGAGATTAAGTGACAGCAAGTCTCCTTAACACACCATTACTTTTCTTGGTCTTTTTTTATTTTATTTTTTGTAATCATTATCACCGCATACAAGGCAGTAAAACCACTAAGACCCAAGGGGCTGCAGGATATGGATGAATTAGGAACAGAAACATTAATAATGAGCAAGAAGAGAAAAAAGTAATCAGGAGTATAGTAGATAGTGATTGACATTGCATTTAATTTTTTGCAGATTAAAGTTG